CGCAATCCGCTTGATTTTCAGTTCCTTTAATAAACCGCCATTGAGCATGAGGTAAATGATCTTGTATAAATAAGACCCTATTCTGTACATAATCCTTTAATCTTGAGGGGTGACTTTGAATCCAATTGAGAGTTACTTGTGAGTCCGTTCACATGAAAATTGAGGAATGAGATAAATCCAGCGCCCGTTCAGTATCGGCCATGAGTCGAGTTAATAATTAAGCTGCCGAGTTACAACCTTGGTATTGTAATCCGTTTGAATGGTGCAACCTTCGTTTTTCCACAGATGAGATTGAGTTTTGATTCGAGCCCTGAGATATTAACTTTGATAAAAATAACCGCCTCTATTGCTGGATGAAATGTATCCGAAAAGCCATGGGATTCTACTGTTGATGATGGAGTGAGATTGAGCCACCTTGGTATTAAGATTGATGAGAGTTGAGAAAATTCCTTTTTGAATTTGAGCCATTTTTTGATAGTTGATTGTGATAATGAGTCATACCATCCGACCTTTTCGATCCAGAGCTCCTGTTATAACCTCTTGGCACAAACAGTAAAAGGTGAGAGAAATCCTAGAGGATTAAATAGTTGAGCCACTTCTGATAATATGATTCTTTTTGAGATTCGTTCTGATGATTGGGATGATGGTTGAGTGGTGAATTTGAAACAATCGTTTTGAGTACACCATGAGAGACCAAGTACCTTTGTCATGTTGTCTTCAAATGAATGAGTTTTTTCAGAGATGTCCTTTGGTGAAATGATGTTGACTAATTCTGGATGATTACTTTGCCATTTTGCCAGTAGGAATCCGCCGCGATTGAGAAGACCTTCGACTTGTTAAGCTATGAGAATGAGTTCATCTAATTAATCAGATCCTCCATAAATGTCATCCACATATCTTCTATATTTGAGAACTGGTATCGCTAGAGGAAATTCATGACCTTCGTCCTCGATGAGTTGTAGAATTACTCTAACTGATAAAAATGGTGCTGATTTTGTACCATAGCTGACCGCAATGAGGTGATATGGTACCTCTTCTTGATCCTTGTTTACCCATAAGATTTGTTGTAAATACCAATCTAGTAAATGAACCTTGATTTGGCGAAACATCTTAATAATATCAGTTGAAATGATAAATCTGAACTTCCTAGTCCAGAGCAATACATCTGAGATGTCCTTCTAAAATTTCGACCCAGTATGTAAAATGTCATTGAGTGAAATTCCTGAGCTAGTTGCCGATGATCTATTAAAAACAACCCTTAATTTGGATGTTGTACTTTGTTCCCTGAGAATTCCATAATGAGGTAGATAGTAGATTGGTGATGATGAGTTTGTTGATTGAGCGTGAGTCATATGATTGAGTTGCTCAAATTCTTGTAGAAATGAGTGATACATATTGATTTTTTGAGATTCGCCTGAATAATGATTAAAGACACCGTTGAACAATGATATATGAGTCGCCAAGTTGACTTGATGATGAGTTTTGAAAAGATGTAAGCATTAAGCGAAAGCGAGCAAGCAGAATGAATTAATTGAAGTTTGATAGAAGCCATTCCTAGAGTTTTTCAAGATGCTATTCCTACAATCCCAATAATTGGAATAGTTGAGTATTGCCTTGTAATATTTAATTGAGTTTTGAGTTTTTCAGAAGTAAATGATAATTGTGAACCAGAGTCTAAGAGAATCCTCACTGGATGAGAGAGGCCAGAACCTCCCATGCTTTCCTTGTATGAGAATCCAACCTTATAGTAATGAAATGCACAAGTACCAAGTCCTATGACTTGACAGGTGCACCGAGACACTGGAGTGCATTTATTGCTTCCGTTTTGTTTGTGAGTAATGTGTTTGTGTTCACTCGACGATTTATTTGAGATGACCGACGAATTGAATAATTTATCCATTTGAGAGGCAATGAGTAATCTTTTGGTTTCGTGACGAGAAGCAGGCAGAGTTAAATAAGTCCGTGAATAAAGGTAAATTAGCAATAAGTTGAGCCGCTTCTCCAGTGAGAAATGTCCTTAAATAATGCATTTCTTTAACGCCTGAGATGTCCAAATTGCTAATTACCAAAGATGAGAATAAATCCTTGAATGAAATCCAACAAGAGTATTCGCCGGCAAATTGTCGAAGTGAGATTTCAGGAAGTTGCCTTCTTTGAGATTAAGTAGATTCTATTTGATGAGGAGAAATCATGAGACAAATGAATCCAAAAGAGTCCTGAGAAATGTTTTAGCATCCTTAAATACCTTGACTGTTTGTTTAAAACCATCATCCATCTTATATGGATCACTTAAGGAGGAGAGACACCTTTACCCGAAAAAAAATCTTTTTTTTGTTTTCTTAAACAATACTTTATGATGTGTAGAATAGAAATTATATCTGCAAAAACGCTTTCGAAGTTATTTTATGTAAAAAATCGAAATCTGCAAAAGGTGCATGTTAGTGCTATCGGTTATTTTGTCTTTTACCGTGGTAACAATTGCGTTCTTTTACGCTCACAGCCGCTCGAAAGGCTGAAGATGAAGCTAATATTAATGTCATAACTTTATAAGTTTTCATATGTCAAAACTTTAAACGCGTTTTTTTCAAAGTGACATTTTTTAAAACGGTGGCCAATCTAGCTCGAACAGTTTTAATCGGATTGACGTCGGCCAAAGTTTTTTTTTATTGTCATTTACTAATGCTTTAGAGAACGTAGCGGATTTTTTATTGTTTTTTTTTTTGGTAATAGATTTTTTTAACAAAATTTCGCCCTAAAAATCGACTTTTTCTTCAAATAACTGCCAAATCAACAAAAATTGCACTACCTTCCTTTCACTACACTTTTTGAGTTTGCACCTTTCAACTGCTTCACACCAGACACCATCCGGTTCGAAGGACGGATGTTTAAGATTTGCCGTTTTTTATTCATGAGGAGTGCGTGGAGGAAATAAATTCATTTTATGTAAAATTACAAAAATTCTAGCGTTTATTAAAATTAAAAAAGTTAAGTACACAAGTGCAAAAATAGCGTGACCACGCTGTTGTCAAGCACAAAATAATTTAAGTTGAGTTTTTACCGATAGTTTAAAGTTTAATTTTAAGAACACAATTATTTTGAGTAGAACCGATCTGAGTTAATTAAATGGGAATAACTATGATTATTGATTTATTGATAACTGCTCGCTAATCGCAAAATAGCCGGTAAGAAAGGCTGTTCCGGTACAATGCTTTGAGAATACTAATTGTGCGTAGACGCAGCACAGCTTTTTAAGATATTTTTTGGCAAACAAAATAAACTACAAATCTATCTCTTAGTTCGACGTATATAGACGTCTTGTGGCGCAACATTTTGATGTCTATGTAGATCTTCATTTAGACGCCATTTCGATAGACTTCTTAGACGTCAAGAAATCTCTATTAAATCTTTTAGTTCTTACTGGAAGTTAACTGACAGGTAAGCAGTTAGAGTACATTAGATATACTAAAATTCTATTTAACTAGAGGGATAAAAATGTTTCCCCTGTGTATTTATTTTTGTTTTACTTTTAATACACTTGAGCACCTTTTTGAAATAGGAAATCGTATTTCCAATCTTATATTTATAAGAGTGTACTACTCAACTATAACGATTATGGAACTTTTTAAAGCTAATTTTGTGGATACTGAAGGTATTGCTATAAAATCACGTTGTCATGAATTCCGAAAAGTCTTGACGAATCCCTGTGACAGAGAGTTTTGTTACAAATTAGCGACAATCGAATTTTTAAATTTATACAGTGAGACGAAGGGATAAGTTTATCATAGTTTGAATTGAATGATCATTGTGTGACAGTGATTCTGTATTCTTAATTTTATTGAAAATTTTCTATATAATAATAATAGACACATATACCGAAAAGCATTAACTGTCCCTATAACCCTGTAAAAAAAGTATTGAAAGGTACCGATTTACGCATTGGGAGTATCAACCTGCCACTGCGGTATTCTCGAAATACCGAATTGGGTGTCACGGTGAATGTGTAAATCCAAGAATCCCAATGCGGTGAAAATTTTAAGCTGTAAAAAAACGAAACGACGTTACGGGAACAAATTATAAGTGTAAGCTGTGAAAAATAAAAGGTAAAAGAGTTAATCAATACTCATGTTGAGCGAAAATATTAAGTTTCAATCAAATAAAGTGAGATGAAATGTCAAATAAGAGTCCAATTCGGCATATTGTGGTTTCATTGTGGCACAGAGTCGGTAAGTAGAGCACGCAGCACAGCGGCGCATTCTTTTTTTTTACAGTTAAATTAATTTCATATTTTTATTCATTATAAATATTATATATGGATGTCAGCAATTAATTAACATTAATAATATTTATCACGGGCATGATAGCACTTTTATTTAAATTAGTAATATAAACTACAAAAAATAAAGATATTGAATTAATTAAAATTATTATTAAAAATAGATAAATAGTTTTATTCTAAATGTTTAATATTTAATTTTTAACCATTTTTTTATATCGATATTTATCCTTTACTAAAAAATTACTTTTTATTATCATTTTTGTAATAAAATTCTTATTTCATAATATTTAAAATAAAAAAATAAGATATTAAATTTAAAATTTCATTATTTTTAAAATTATTATCTGCATACAAAGAACTCGCTGTCGATAAAAAAGAAATAGCCGCTGTGCTGCGCGCTCTACTTACCGACTCTGCGCCGCATTGAAACCACCATATGCCGAATTGGACTCGTATTTGACATTTCACCTCACTTTATTTCATTGAATCTTCATATTTCCGCTCACCATTAGTATTGTTTCATTCTTTTACCTTTTATTTTTTACAGCTCACACTTATTTATTGTTATTGTAAAGCTGTTTTGTTTTTTTAATGTTTAAAATTTTTGCCGCATTGGGACTCCTGGATTTACGCATTCACCGTGATACCCAATGCGTAAATCGGTCCCTCCCAATACATTTTTTATAGGGAAGTATTTTGTTAAAATTTTCTTATCTTTACTTACCAATTCTAGCAAATCCCCTCTCTTTCGCGACCCTTATTTCTGCCTGAAATGTGCATCCAAAACCTACAAAAATAGAAAAAATGACAATTAATTAAAAAAATTTCTTTCAAACGCATTTTAAATTACATTTACAATTCATCCTAGTCGAAAATCCTGCGCTTTCTTAAGCGATAACATCACCCAAATACTTTCAAAAAATCAAATTTTTTTTTGTTCCTTAAATGGTCCCTTAGGGTGTTAAAAATAATATCCCAATTAGTTTTAAGTAAAAAAAACATGCAACTATTTTTAAAAAATATTTTTCGCCAGATATATTCTTACATTGCATGGTAAAAAAATTCAATATGATTAAAAAATGAATTCAGAAAGCGCAGATAATCTTACAAATTACTAGTCGAAGGTTTTTGAGGTCTCGAATTACGTATAAGATGTCTGTTTTCAAAATTTTAAAATGTCGATTCAAATATTGTAGAAAAAATATTAAATATTAGACGGTTTTATATGAAACTTGTTGCTACGGGGTATTCAGGCTCGCTCATTACGAACCTGCAGTGGGATTCCGTTAAGTGCCATCGCTACGTAGTGCTCTATCATAGCAATGACAGGTATATTTTCTTTATTTTATTATCTTCTCCGAATTTTCTTACCTGCAGAAGAGTTTCAATAAAGGTACTTCGTTTTTATCAATTAAATTAACTAATTAACGGGTATTAAATGAATTCTATAAAGGAGGAGTTTAATGAGGCCGATTTTTGGGCCAAACTCGGATTAACTCCAGAACTACCGACGGCACAAATTGTCCCGTTCGCATGTTTGTTCTAGTGTATCTTCCGTTAAGGCCAGGTCCAAGTCGTGTCAGCTGTTCCATTGAAACTTCAAAGGAACAGCTGACTCCACTTGGACCTGGCCTTAATGACTAGCTAGAGGGCTGAAATTATCTGACTTTTATTTTTTTGTTGAGTTTAATCAGTATACCAAATTTCAGATTTTTATCATTATTAGAACCTGAGATCTGAACTGGCATACCGAGAACTACCGACGGGACATTTTGTCCCAAGGTTATTAATATTGTTAAAAACAATTATTCTAATAAAATTGAATAATATTCATTTTGTACAGTTATTAGAAAGTATAAACAATCATAATATAGTGGAATTATGCTAATTTTGTATTGTAATTGCCTATATTAATATTTACTAGACAAGAGTTTTTGATACAAATCTACATGAGAAGTAGCGCAGTGGACGGTTAGTGTACGAAACTGCTGATGAAACGCGCTTATCAAAAAATCGTTTTTGGCAAAATCTCAGTTAAAGTTTTGGATTTTCCATATACATAATTTATTCTTGAAGGTTTATTTATTATTTTAAGGCTTACCGGAAGTTTGCAACTTCGGGATAAATTTCTATATTGCTCTAAAGTTCCTATCTTAAAAACGAGACGTGTAATTGCCTAACTTCAAGTGTAGACACCTATCCTTATTGGTAGAATTCAAAATTATGAATTGTGATTGGTCAAAACTGACGACATACTTTCATCAGATACTTGCAGCTAACTTCAAGTGTAGACACCTTTCTTTATTGGTTATTTTGCACATTCTTCTTAATTTTTATTGGTTAATTTTTCTAATTTGAAAATAAAATTTAATATTTTTTAAAAAATAAATATTTTGCATGAAGCATTAAGCGCATTAAATCAAACATTTTTTGAAATAAATATTTTACAAATAAAGATGCGAATCCATTAAAAAGATAAATAAACTTTCACCATTGTTTAGTCATATCATTTTAATTCAGTTATAGTTTCCAGGTTTATGTAATCACAAAAGATAAAAAGAAAAAAATTTATACAACATATGCCTAAATTATATTTATTGAAGGTCATTTGTATTTAAATAACATTAGTTTTAATTGAAACATTTGTAGAAATGAAGGTGCATAAATAGAATAAACATGACAGAGGGGATGAGAGCCTGTGCAATTGGTGGCGGTAGGCACATGATAGCACTATTGAAAAAGTTGTTTATTTTTGTATCAGTTTGTTATTCAATGAGAGTAATTACAGTGTTTTCAGTATTCATGATAATTTTTTTGATGAGAAAAAATTGAGTGTTAGTTTGTAATTAATTTTTATAGTGATTTCAGTATACATGATAATTTTTTTGGTATACTACTTTAAATTTTGAAAAGCTGGCATTGAACTCGCATTGAATTCGTTATCTGCGACCCCAAAAACTCTCGGGTGAAGATTTTTAAAACGATTTCGAATAATTTTGAAAAATTGTGCAACCATATTGGATTTGACATTTTGAATTTTAAAAACTGAGATCAAATTCCTAATCAGCGACCTTAAAAAGCCCGGGGTAAAAAGTTTCAAGTGAATCTGCTCAATTTTTAAAAATGTCATCCGCCATAGTGGATCCACAATTTTGAATTATTTTAAACTGACATCAAATTCGTAATCAGCGACTTTAAAAATCCTCGTGTAAAAAGTTTCAAGTGAATCTGATTAATTTTTAACAATGTCATCCGCCATATTGGATCTGACATTTCAAATTTTTTAAAAATGCCATCAAATTCGTAATCAGCGACTTCAAAAAATCCCTATCAATTAGTTTCAAGCGAATCCAAACGATTTTTTATAAAATGTCTGACATATTGAAACCGCCACTTTGAAATTTAAAAATCTGACATTGGATTCGTAATCAGCGACCTCAAAAACTCCTGATTAAAAAGTTTTAAGTGCTCATAATCACAAGAATTACCTATGTGGTTTTTTGTACTTGGGCATTTGTTACTGTGTTTATTCCAGCGCCATTTTGAAATAGAGCGCAAGCAAAAAAATTATATTTTTTGCATATTTTTATAGCTCTAATATACCTACTGTTTTTGAAAAAGTATGGCGGTGTGACCACGAAAGGAACCTTAAAAATATTGACTTTTAAGCTGCAATTTTCAAAAATCCATGTAAAATTATATTTTAAAAGTATTTGGTAAATCCAAGTGATCACTTTGAAAAAATTACCCAAGTAGCACGATATATCAATCAGATGTCACGGTGATATCACCGGCGAATGTCACCGTGACATCAGGAAAATGTCAAAATGTCCGCCTTACAGTGATATCACACGGTGACATCGAGGTGATATCATGGTGACATCAAGGTGATATCACAGTGATATCATGGTGATATCACCGTGATATCATGTTGATATTTTACAGGGACTTAAAATTTTTAATTTTTTTAAAAATAATAATAAATAAAAAAAATAATAAAAAAAAAAATAATAATTTTTAAAAAATTTTAAGTCCCTGTAAAATATCAACATGATATCACAGTGATATAACCATGATATCACCGTGATATGACTGTGATATCACCTTGATCTCACCATGATATCACCTCGATGTCACCGTGTGATATCACCGTAAGGCGGACATTTTGACATTTTCCTGATGTCACGGTGACATCTGGTTCATATATCGTGCTACTTGGGTAGTGGAAATTACACAAACATAAAGAGACAAAAAACTTTTCGAACAAAATTTTAAATTACCATTGGTAAAGACACGAAAAATGCTTCCATAGATGACGAGTACCACTTAAAAAGTTAGTTCTTAACTGGAATATTATATGCAAATAATTGAAATTTGTCATATTAATTGCCGTAATTAAAAAATTTATGGTAGAGCACGACTCCCCACGAGGCACAACTCCTTAGTCTCCCCTACATGATAAATAAAACCTTTTAAAAAATCGTTTTTTAGGTTTATAGTCTAGAATAAACCTTTATGAAGAGATTTCTATTTGAATTTATATATTACTGGTTGTTCGGAATAAAGTGCACCAAAAAAGGTACGTTTTGGAAGACGCCACCTACAGCTACGAAATTGAATTAAATACACTTAAACATTTTTTAAAAATTTTCTCTACGTAATGTGAAACAATGTACAAAAAGAATTTTTGCAATTTCTTTAATAGTTTAGTCACAATAAAAGTTTTAAAGCGTGTCTTTTTTGTCAATTCTAAACCAGAAAGTCCCCTTAAATTTAAAAATTCTCTAAACGAAATATCACAGTACTACTAATTGTTGAAATTTTTGCACCGGAATAATATCAAAACATACTCTAACTTTGTTCAAGAATATCCTTACTATGAGACGATTAGATATGTAAATTAGCTAAAGCAAGATAGTGTTATACTATTTTTCTGGTCTGAAAAGAGAAAATGAGAGCGTTAAATTAAGTGTTAAATTTTAAGCGCTACTTGACAAACAAAGAATTATGTCATTTTCCTTGTAAAAGAAAGAAAGAATAAGTGACATATTAATGTCTATCTACTGCTACCTGAGCAAAGAACATTTTATTTTCCTTTTGTGTTAAGGTTTCAAATACCTGACTTTCGGGCATCGACTGTCATTAAAGAAGGTCTATTATTTTGTAGGGTTTGTTCGTCCCAGAGTCAAGAACTGTTATTTCAAGTATTATGACTCTTCAGGGGTCGTCCATAAATTACGTAAGACTTTCTTCTGGTCATTTAAACCCCCTCCAACCCCTATGTAAGATTTTTTATTTTTAATTTTTAATTATTAATTTTTAATTTTTAATTATTTTTAATTAATTAGTATTATTGTTATTATAGTCCATTATACAAAACTAGTGTATGTTTGTATGATTGAATGTTTGTATGATTTTATTATTAATTTCACAAAAATAGGACCTTTTACATGACTTACATGTTTATTTATTTATTATTAACAATTAATATTTTTATTAATATCTTAATTAACTGAAAATAACTGGAATATATATAAGTCATGTAATAAGATCAATTTTCCAAGAATTGTCTGGAGGAGAAGAACCAGTGCATTTCCCCACTTTTTACCAAGAAACAACAATGACACCTCCACATCAGATGAATTCCTATTGGTCAATATAAAGCAATTTAATTCAGATAGGGTAACAGTGAGGATATATATTATTTAATATGTTGATTGGCTATTTAAAATCGTCACAACGTCACCTTTGCCCCGTCACCCCTATACCAAAGTGTATAAAAGCCTG